GGTTAACCAAGAGAAGTCATCTAGAACACTCAGAAGGCCTTCCAAGTATGAAAGGCTGAAGGTGGGAAGCTTCTTTGGAGGGATTGGAACCAAGTGCTTGCAGAAAATAATCTCTAGCTGATAGAGAAGGTACAGAATGGGAGGCAGGGACACCATATTTAACCCTCTTCCCTGGGTGGTTTTCCCAGGACCAGCCTATTCTATGCATTCAGGCACCCAACCCTGGTTTGCCTGAGCAGAGAACCAATGTGGGACAAGGGCTGTCTTCCCCAGCGGTGCCCCACGGTTGGCTCTGGAAGGGCTGGGAGTTAAGGGCAAAGGCTAAAAGGATCGTTTCTTAGCCTGGAGAGGGCAAGTGACTTCCTAAATATAGCACAGAGGAGGCGAACAGAAGCAGCCCGGTGACCACCCACCATAGTGCCCCTGCCTGATGTGGCCAGAATGTGGGTGGAAGTGAGGAGAGGGTGACTCAGACCCCGAAACCGAATGTGCTGAGCCCACAGTCCCACAGGAGGAAGATGACCTGCCTCCCAAGGCTCCCTCAGAGGAAGTTCCTCCGCCTCCCAAGGCTCGGGCCTCCTCCACCAGGACCCTGAGTGCGAGAGGACTTCACCAGCCTCTAACAGTCGTGAGGAGCCAGCTGAGGTCCAGGCAGAACCAAACTGCAGAGTAAGGAGGAGGTCAAAGATCAGACCATGAAACAGACCTTGGTTCTTACTAGCTGTAAAATCTTGTGGGGTTCACTAAGCCCCTCTGAAGCAGGTGTCCTTCCCTAAGGTGGGGATACAGAAATAGCTGATACATAGTGAAGCTCAATAAATCACAGCCCTTGACAAGAACAATAATAAATGGGTAAACAGTAAAATACTATTAGAACACAGGCACTGTGAAGAAAGTAAAACAAGGGACCAGCAGATAGCATAATGGTTATGTCATTGGACTCCCATGTAGTTGACCACAGTCTGAATCTCAGACCCAGCGGCTTACAACTCATGCCGGGTGTGCGTGCATGCATGCCTAAAATCCCGAGAGGAGAATGGAGGGGAAGGGATTGCAGCGTGGCCATCCCTCCAGGAGGGTGATTTCTCACTTTCTGTTTCTCTGTCTCTCTCTCTCTGGCTAGTATA